AAAAAAAATCATAAAAATATAATAAATGCTCCAAGTCATTTCCTTGATTCATTGAACATCCTGCAGTCTACCACAAAAGTTAAGAATGTCATCTTGAAATATGCTTTCTTGAAAGTCTTTTGGTCATTTTGCATGTCTTGCTCCAGAGGTTATGCTTACAATTCTTAAACCATGGTAATCAAATATGAGCAGGGCTAAAAGCAAACCAAAACCAAATTTGCTGCCATCGAATCGAATCCTACTCATAGCAACCCTTCCTTGGGTTTCTGAGGCAGTGTCTCTATGAAGTAGATTGCCCAACCTTCCTTCTGAGGAGTGGCTGGTGGGTTTGAAATGCCAGCCTTCTGATTAGTAGTCAAATGCCTTAGGCGCCACGGCTAAGGTATGTTATTCAAATTTTTGTGAAAAAATAGATGACACAATGTTTGCCAATTCAACATTTCTTTGTGTGTACAATTCAGTGAGAACAATTACATCAATCATGGTATGTAGCTGTCACCAATATCTGTTGTTAAAATTTTCCATCACCATAAAAGGAAACTCACTGATTCACAAATAATTATATATATTACTCTTAGGTTCTTTGAACATTATGGAAGAATGACTTTATGAAGACTCACCTGCAGGATTTCTCGGCAGATATAAGCAATCCAATCTTCTTTTAAACTCTGGTTTCTGGTCATCCTTACTACATCAGTAACTGAGCCTGCTGCACATAACTCCATCACCATCTGCAGAGAAGTCAGCAAAGTATCAAGAATTAGAAAGTAAGTCTCTGGAAATATCTGGAGATTTTTAGTCCATATGGCTGGTGATGTTTAGAGATTAAAACACTGCAAAGGCTGGCTCAATTGTTTGGTGAAAGACTCCAAAGAGTAGTGGAATCAGAAAGAACCAGGTAACACTCCAAGATTTTCAGAGAGATGGAGGTCAGGTACCACACTAGGGATATTTAACTAGAAGATGGATTTAAGCTCATCTAAAGCATTTGACTGCTAACCAGAAGGCTGGTGGTTCAAACCCACCAGCCACTCCTTGGGAGGAAGATTGAGCAACCTACTTCCGTAGAGATACTGCTGAGGAAATCCAAGGAGAGGTTGCTGTGAGTAGGAAATAACTCAATGGCAGTCAGTTTGGTTTTTGGTTTGGTATTCAGTTAATTAAAAACAAAACAAAAACAAACCAGAATGAGCATATGCCCTTAGAAAGAAGTCTGCAGAGGAGAAGCATGAGTGATAACTGGAATGTAATAGAAGGAGAGTGGAGGGAACAGTTTGATTGGGGTTGAAGATGCAGGTTATGGAGGACTTTGACATTGAGACTAGGTTTGTTTTTTTGTTGTGTTATATTTACGTTCAATTTCCAGATTAATTTCCCCAAAGAGACTGTCAAACAACAACTCCAAGGGGGTAATTTTCAATTGCAATTCTTTCCAAATGAGACAACTGATAAGACAACTCCATTTTAAGCTTACTATCCTTGACAGAGGGAGCTCTGGTAGCATAGTGGCTAAGGCACTTGACTGCTAACCAGAAAGCTGGCGGTTCAAACCCACCAGCCACTCCTCAGAAGGAAGGTTGGGCAATCCTACTTCCGTAGTGATACTGCCTCGGAAACCCAAGGAGGGGTCGCTATGAGTCGGGGCCGACTCGATGGCAAACAACAAAGCGTAGCGTACTTCCTTGGGAGCTCTGGTAGCATAGTGCCTAAGGCGCTTGACTGCTAACCAGAAGGCTGGCGGTTCAAACCCACCAGCCACTCCTCGGAAGAAAGATGGGGCAATCTACTTCCATAGTGATATCACCTCAGAAACCCAAGGAGGGGTCGCTATGAGTTGGGTCTGACTCAACTGCACATAACAACAACAACAACATATTGAGTAGACAAAACATATAAACTGTTGCAAAGAACGGAAAGAGATTCATTTTGAATCAAAAGTGAATTGAAACCATTCACTAAGATGCACTCTGAAAGGTCTTGTTAATATGGCCTGAGTCAGAACTCTCCTGTGAAAGGCAAGTACAGAATTCTCAATCAGTTTCCAAGGATTTCAAGCCCAGTGCCTGGCACATACTCTTTTTAAATGGTAATTATTTAGCTGTTTACTTTCTGTTTGTTATTTTGATTTACATGAGTAAGAAAGTGTGAATGGTTCCATGAAACTCTTAACTTCCACAAATAATTAATTCTTCAAGTGCCTATTCATCTTTCAGCTTTATTTCTTCAAGGAAGAGTTTCTCTTCCCCCAACTTAATTCAGGTCCCTTTGTTATTTGCCCACATAGAACCATGTATTCCTCTTCTGACCAATTGTACTTTCATTTGTGTGATTAATATTAGTCTGCACAAACAGACTGTAATCTTCAGTGGGCCAAAACCAAAAACTGGGAGCTCTGGTGGCATAGTGCCTAAGACATGTGACTGCTAACCAGAAGGCTGGTGGTTCAAACCCACCAGCCACTCCTTGGAAGGAAGACTGGCCAACTACTTCTGTAGAAATACCACCTCGGAAACCCTAGGAGGGGTCACTAGGAGTTGGAACCAGGGCATATCTATTCAGCTTACCGTGTATCCCCAGCATCGAGCATAGTGCCTGGTAAATAGATGGTGTTCAATGAATATATGTTGAATGCCTGAATGAACTGAGTACTAATAACATATATCCAATTAGAAGACTTAAACATTTTTCATAGTTTGCCATACTGTCAAGAGGAAAAAACTTGTAAGTAAAAATATATGAAAAGACATAATAATAATAATAATAATAATAATAATAATAACAACAACAATGGCCTTTAAAGTTAAAGCTGTGCAGAAATACTTAATAAAATATCAATTGCAAATGTCAGAGAATAGAGGATTCTAGTTAACTGGACATTTGGGAGAAATTAGGGTTAAACTGAAGATCTTTAAATTTGGTGGTTCTCAAAGTGGGGTACCCAGACTCGAAGTAACAGTACCACCTCTGAACTTGTTATAAAGTACAAATTCTTGGATCCCCCTCCAATGGGGCCCAAAAATCTGTATTTTATCAGGCTCTCCAGGAGATTCTGATGCATACTAAAATTTGAAAACCAATATTTTAATTCAACCCCTTCTTGGAAACCTTTCTATAATGTCCACTGTCCTCATTCCTAAAGTTCACTATATAGAAACTAACTTGAGTCTTTCCTTTATACTTAAAGATTCTGAAAAGTCTGTTACTATTTTGAAAAAAAAAACAAACAGAAAACTATTATTGGCTTTAACTTGGAATAGTAATATAGCAAATATAGAGATTCTGTATGGGAGCTCTGGTAACATAGTGCCTAAGGCACTTGACTGCTAACCAGAAGGCTGGCAGTTCAAACCCACCAGCCACTCCTCGGAAGGAAGATGGGGCAATTTACTTCTGTAGTGACACTGCCTCGGAAACCCAAGGAGGGGTCGCTATGAGTCGGGTCTGACTCAATGGTACATAACAACAACAACAACAGAGATTCTGTATATACTGACCCAAGTTTATGTTCTACATATTCCTTTTTAAATATAAAGACATCCTTGACTAAAGCTCATTTTCTTGTGATTTGTCTATTTTTCCTATAGTGGAAGGCAGCAATAACACCTGATAACTGTGTCTTAGGTAGTGTGGATTACAGTCAACCAAAGTTTCTGTATTATATATCATTGGCAGAGAATTTGTTATAATCTAAGCATTAAGACTAAGAAGAGGATAAGTCAATTAACCATTTGGAAAAAAGATTCTAGGAGTTATGTTTATACATCAGTGTATATTTCTTTGCAATGCCCAGGCCAAATGCTCATTAGATTGACCCTGGTTCAGCCATTATTGGCCAATCCATCAGATCTTTATCCATATCTCTAATTTACCAGCTAAAGCAGTAGCTAGATAAAGTTAAAAGTAGCAAAGCTATGTTTTAAAAGGAATTTGTTAGATTTCTCCAGCATTCGAGTCCGTCTGCATGCCACCGCCAAGTCTTCTGCCAGGCACTTAACTTATATTGCCATAACCCACCTTCCCTATCTCCAGGAATCACAGCATATTTTGTCACGCTACCTTGAGCAGCTGAGTGCTTAAGTTTTCCTGTGGGTGCACAAAAATGAAATCTCAGCTCACAAAAGCTTACATCCTTGGGCAAAACATTCTTATGGAATAAGTGTGGAGTAATTAAATACATACCCAAAGTTGGTGTCTTTGGCCAGGGGGACTCAGTTTAAAAAATGCACCATAGAAGGACACAATGTTTTTGTGGAAAGAGTACTTCTTCAGAAGGTTGAGTTCAGTTCTCAGATCCTCTTCCTCATCCTGTGGAATAGAAGTAGACTGTAAAGCTCCTAAACTACATAATTCAATGACTGAAACCCATTGCCTTCGAGCTGGTTCTGACTCATAGTGATCTTATAGCACAGAGTAGAACTGTCTCATAGGGTTTCCAAGGCTGTAATCTTTACAGATGCAGAATGCCACATGTTTCTCCTGTGGAAGAGCTGGTGAGTTGGAACTGCCAACCTTTTGGTTAGCAGCCAAACACTTAACAACTATGCCACCAGGGCTCCATTCAATGACTAAAACCCACTGCCATCAAGCCGATTCCGACTCATAGCAACCCACATTGGGTTTCCAAGGCTGTAAACCTTTACGGATGTAGATTGCCTCATCTTCCTTCCATGGAGTAGCTGGTGGGTTTGAACCACTGACCTTCTGGTTAGCAGCCAAATGTCTTACTACACCACCAGAGCTCCTTCCATTCAATGATGACAGATCTCTAAACTGTAATAGACCAAAGAAGGAGAATCTTATGACAACCCATTAGAACCTATAGCAATTTATAAAAAAACAAAACAAGGAGGCGGGGCAAGATGGCGGACTAGGCAGAAGGATTGCACAGACCCTCTTCAACAAAGAAAAGGGAAACCAATTAACACAGACACAG